TTTTTATTTTTTATAAATAATAGATTTTCCACTACCTCAGAAATCCTAATCCTAATGAGGAGCTTTATCTCCGTTTGTTGGTTCAGGTTCTGGCCCGCCATCGACTCCAGCCTGCGTGCTGCAGCCTGCACCAGAGGGGTGCAGGTGAGACTGATGGTCAGCTGCTGGGAGCACTCGCCAGCCTCCATGTTCACCTTCCTGCAGTCCCTGCTGGTGCTCAGCAGGCCTCCTCTGAAATGCAATGTTGACGTGGTACGACGACGATCAGCTCCGCAGCCGAGACGCTCCTAACGAGAGGAGAAACAGAAGGTTTACCTCAGCTCTGTTTCTGTTTGCAGAAAATCTTTACGGTGCCTTCAACAGCGGAGCAGATGAAGATCCCCTTTGCACGTGTCAATCACGCCAAATACATGGTGACAGACAGAGCGCTCTACATTGGTGGGTTTATTAAACTGGTAGATGGAGAAAAAAACCAGAATAAACCTGTTGGAGAATCCAAACTGAAGGTGTTTCTGTTCACAGGGACATCCAACTGGTCTGAGAACTACTTCACTCACACAGCAGGCGTAGGCCTGGTGGTGAACCAGACAGGCGCCGAGCTTCACGAGGGCCAGCAGACTCTGCAGAGCCAAGCGGAGGAACTCTTCCTGAGAGACTGGAGCTCCGACTACGCCGCCACGCTACCCACTGACAGCGTGGACGTCTGTCCCCGCAGCTGAGGGGCTGCATCCCTCAGTGAAGCACGATGCCTTTTAGATCAGCGTTCCGCTTTGCTGAACCACTTAAATATGCAAATATTGTTGCTATGACCAAATACAGCTGGGTTTACTGCTGCCTCTTGTTTTATTGCTGCTGGCTGCCAGCTTCGTCTGTATATAATTGCGTTGTGTTTTTTATCCAAACTAGTAGCTTTGATGCTCCTGATTCCTCTTGAGGAAAACAAAAGAGATCAGTTTGCACGTTTCATCTCTGGAGATTTCTGTAAATATTGCCAGTTGTTCGGCCTTGCCAAGTTGAAACGATTTCATGCAAGGAGGCGTTTCCAAAGAGGTGCATGCACCAGAGCATTGTTTACACTGCAGAGGCTATCAATAATGTACAAATGAGTGTAAGGGAAAGTATTTTATGTGTTTGTTTTTTTGTTAAGTTTTCCATTTATAAGAAATAAGTTGCTCAAAGAAGCCCAGATTTTTCGGTAGAATTTTTCCTCTTGAATATAAACGATGTCCGTTTCCTGTCATAAAGCAGACAGGAGTCAAGCTGCTGTGTGGTCGAACAAAGGAAGCAGCAGGAACAATGGATCACTGACGAACTGTTTCCTTTAAAATAAATTCTGCTCAAAGGAATCGGCTTTGATTTCTTTATGATCGTTTCTCCTCCACCTGGATACTTCAGTCGAATAGAAAAGGGATTTATTCATCGTTCCAATGCAAAAGTTTTAATGTCTGTTTCTCTTTCTGCTGAGGACCTGACCATGACACCCCTTCCCTGTTTGAGCGTTCTAATGAGCTTTTTCTGCAGCTTTAGACCCCAGTATTGGCATGATTTGAAATGTTTTAAATAATTCTTCACGTCAGTATACATCATTCAGATTGTATGTAGGCTGCTCTCATCAAAAACTCAAGTAACTTGAGAGGTGTGGATCCGTTACAGTCATGTTACCCATAGCACTGCTTTACGGCAGTCTGAGCTTCCCTTAAACAGTGGAGCTAACTAAGCTAATAGTTGTTAGCAAACAGATCAGATCAGTGGCGGTTCTAGACCAAATGTACCAGGGGGCCACGATGGGGCCAGCATGTTTTCATGGGGGCACAGAAAAGAATGAAATTGAAAAAAAAAGGCAAGGGATTCAAATATATTAAGCTGCATAAAATGAAATTTCTATTGAATTAGGTTTAATTAATTTCTTATTAGGTCAATATACATTCAGAATTTAGGAATTTTACATATTTTTGACTTAAGTTAGAATTACTGTTTTCTATAAAATCTGACATAAAGCTTTTGTTTATTTGCTTTGAATTTTAGCAGATGGAAACTGGGATCCTATATAAATTCTACTGAAGCTATCACCTTATTATTTTTAGATAATAAGTAAAACAGAATTTGTTAAGAAAAAGAAATTAAATGCATTCCAAAGGACCTATCAGTAACCATTTCTGTTTCAGCGCATATTATCATTAGAATTCCTTTGAGTATTATGTCTTCAGTAGAGTTGCACCGATGCCATCTTTTGGCCCCGATACCTGGCTGTGCAGTATTGGCCGAAACCATCTGTTTATAATTGATGTGTGTGTGTATATATGAAGAACTGCATACTACTTGGATGTAAAATAATTACCATCATGGTTTTGTCGAGCTGCTGCCTTCCTTTGTGAAGCAGGAAAAAGACTAATATAAAGTGAACCCAGTAGAACTTTTTATTGCCTAACTGGAATGGGTGACAATAGTTGAAGAAACTTTTGGCTCTCAAGATGGTATCGGGGCCCTATCTGTTGGTACTCGCCGATACCGATGCCACCATTTTAGTACTGGATAGGGACCCCGCCCGATACTGGTATCGTATCGGTGCAACACTATTCTTCAGGACATGATCTACGGGGGCCCCTGTTGGCCCCAGTCTAGAATCGCCCATGGATCAGACATATTTTGGTTTTTGGTAGGATTTTGTGGCCTTGAATTTACCAGGAACACCATGACTTCTTAATCTGCTGGTCCAAAGTGGTCTGGTATCAGAACCAGAACTAGGGCGACCAGATGCCCTCTTTTCCCTGGACATGTCCTACTTTTCATACCTGAAAAAAAAAATGTTCGTGGGGAATTTCAAAATCGTGTGTGATTTTGGTTGACTAAAGTGCAGCACGTAGTCGAAACAGGGAGCCAGCGGGGAACTGAGCAACCGAACCCGACCCGGTGACGGTATCCTAGACAAAGGCGGCTCCAAGGCAGGGTTTGGTCGCTCTGTCCCCTGGCTGGGGCCTGGTCCGGTCCAGTCAGCAGCCGCCCCCTCCAAAAAAGTTTCCTCCTTTTCAGAAACCCAAACCTGGTCACCCTACCAGAACACCGAGGGAGTCTGGTTCAGTTAGCTCCACTGCAGTGCTGCTTGTTGCCGTCAGGGGGTGCTAAACCTGTAACTGAGGTTTAGCACCCCTACTGGTTAAAGTTGGGACTCCATCTTTGTCTCAGTCGGGGAAACTTTCCTACAGATATTTTTTTACTCTGCAAACATGAGCCTTTGCTTCGTTTCAGGGTAATATGGAAAACTGAAAATGTTCACAAATATGGAAGAAAAAAAACTAAATCCACAAAGGGGAAAAAACTTTCCGACAGCAATGTAGCAAAGAAAGCATTTACCTGCAATGGCCACTAGATGTCACTGTTACAGAGACTTAACTCTGTTATAGATTTGATCAGATTATTAAAACTAATTGATTTTCTATTCAGTAAAGGATATAATCACACAGAACTAACTTGAACTGGATATGGGGGACATTGTCAGAAGAAATAACCCTAACTTAGTGCATTAGTAAAATTATAAATATTTGTATTAATCATGTGTAATACTTCATTTGAACCATCATAAACAAGCTGAACTCATGACATTCATTTTGAGTGCTTTGACTGTCTCAAAGTATTTGTGCATGAGGATATATATATATATATATATTTTTTTTTTTTTTTTTAATGAGTCAATACTGGACTATACAAAGGAAAATAAAACCGAGTCCTACTGATTATGTCCTAATTACCAAATTGATCATCATACTGTTCTTTTTCACAACTTAAAAACAAATTAATAGCTTCAAATATTTTTTAAAACAGGAACTGGATGCAAATGTTCAATTTTGTTTGGTTTTCCTCCACATTTGGCTGTAAATATACACACATCCTCAAACATGTGCATCCAAGCAGGAGAATTTGCTATCAACTAACTCCTGCCTTAATTCTGGTTGATTATTTATCCACTCTTGGGACCGAAATGTTGGCGCTCACTTCTAATTTGGTCCCCAATTCTTAACATTTGGAGCATCGTGTCTTTTCTTTCTTGAAAGCAGCAGGATTGAGTTTAACTTTTAAAAGAAAGGAATGCACATAACCGGCTGAAGTCTGTCAAACACCATGAGATTTCCTATTTCCTTCATGACAAACTAAACAACCATTAATCCTCCTACATAAAGCAGAACTTTAGAAAATGACACCAGAAAGCAGTAAAGCAGAGTATTATTAACATTTTATTAATGCATGAGTCTAAGCCACATTCACATAATAAAGAGCAGAGTTTAAAGAGCGTTCAGACGAACTTCTATCCCTCCTCTGGGGAGCAGATACAGATTCTCTGCAGACATTCACCAATAAAAACCTGCAAAGCTCAGCAAACATGATCCAGAGAGAAAGTCCAACATCTCAGCTGCAGAGAAGGTTGATGATGCAGGAATATTACCGCCATAAACCAAATCTGACATCAGCTTCATTCTGTGGGATTTATCCATCGATGACGGCACATTTCCAAACATTTTAGAAAAATGGATTCCATACGATTTAAACATGTAACTACAAAGAACATGGTCTGTATTTCTGCATTCACATTTAGGGCTCAATTCAACTCATATTTAAGCTGTATTTCCAGATTGGAACATGCATAAAAAAAGAACTAAACATTTTGCTGGATTTTATTATATATATATTTTTTTTTTGGAGAGTTCAAGAGACCAAATGTCATAAATCATTTCATTTATTGTGTTTTTTTAGATACTTTGTTGCAATATATTCATTAAAAGGGTGCCAAATTTTGTAGAATTTTATCTTTATTAAGTCAATTTTGTTGTTATAGACAATTCAGAAAGCCATCTCCCTATATAAGGATATTTACCATCAATATAATAAAGATCCATGTGTCTTTTAGCTAATTATTACTCAAATTTATATACATTTTTGGGATGAATAATGAATTTTGGGGTAAATTAGATTTGGAAACTTACAATATTCTGATATATATTTTTTTTCCTTCCTGGCTAAACATTTACATTTATCAGCAAACACAATGAAATAGAAAACACCTTGTATTTGATATGCATGACCTGAAAAGCAAAATGATGCCTTTATATCTATTCTATACAGTAGCAGTTACAGATGTGTGTTAATAGTTTCTGCCTGTGCTTTTCTTTATGCTTCCCATCATTCCTCTACTGGAATATCAGCATCACTGTTTTCCCTCCCAGCATCCAGCCTGTTAGAGACGTTTCAGTCCAACCATCAAGAACTAAGATATTCAAAAACTGACACTTGATTAAATAATAGCAATAAAGGTTGATTACTCAGCAAAGTTTCAATCATTCCAATACTAAATTCTAATATTTTGACAATAAACGAAATATTCAGGTCTGTTAAACTCCTTCTGATTTTCCCTCTTAACGTTTTTTTAAAGCCGTTTTTCCTAAAAGGTGGAGAAACGCTGCACAGCTGGAAGCTTCTGCAAAAGTCCCTTCATCCATCCAGCAGTGTGTGCAGGCGGGAAGTTGGGAAAACTCTTCAAAAGGAGCGTCTGAAGTCCGCCTCCATCTGTTCCGGATCCTCGGAAGCGTGAAACCTCCTCCTCTCATTCCATGGAGAGCTGGACGCTCTCTGGCTGCTGCTGCTGGTCAAACTTCCTGGCTACAGAGAACAAATGGATCATAAAACATCTGCGCTTATTTTCTAAAACAGTGTTTCCCAACCTTTTTTGACTTGTGTTCCCCTTTCGGGATTTTGTTTCACCATAAGTTCATCCCTCAGTTAAAAGTATTGATGATTGTCCAAATGTTGAACGTACAATAACTGAAATAAAGATTTCGAGACTGACCTCTGTGAGAAGCAGAAGAAGAGATAGAGAAGATCGTTTGTCCCAGCCACAATTGGACAGTTTAATGTTCGTAAAGTTTTTGTTTATTATTATCATAATTTTTTTAATGTAATCTTGTGGGTTTTATCCTATTATCTATCTCTTTAATTTGAGCATTTAAGTTTTGCAATTTTATTCTTTCCACTTCAAAAAAAAACATAAATATGTTTCCTGGAAGTAAGTTAGGAATCGAAATACATACAAAATAAAATCCTATTATAAACCTGTATTTATAAAACTGGAGTGACTCCCTTATAATCACACTTAAACCTGGTGAATTGGGAATAAAATACAGAACAAAAATTATATCCAGATTATTTTATATTATTATTATTTATAGTTTTATTTTGTTTTCAAGTTGCTTTGATGAGCTCCGATAGCTCAGTGTGAAAAACAGCTGATCCCAGGCTGTTCTTTACATCCAGGATGTTCCTCTGCTTGGTTCTCATGTGTGTCACAGCTGAAGGTTGAACTCAAAGAAAAACTAACTTTATGGTTGATAAAATCTTGTTTAATTTTTCAACTGGGTCCTCACAAAGCAAAACCGATCCCAGCTCTATTTTATTTGTCTAACTAAAGCCGGGCGTACCCTGTACTATATTTTCCTTTGAGCCCAGTCTGCACACTGGAAAAAATCTAAATCTCCATAAGTAATTTATTCTTTAAAAACGTGCATTTGTTCTTGAATTGAGAAGGTAAAGGAAAGGTTTTGCCAATGGAACAAGACAATTAACATTTAAAATAAGAAAACACACTTTTATTTCAAGTGCATTTTATCTAAATATCTTGTTTTAAGAGCAAAAATAGTTGTTCCATTGGCAAATCATCTCATTTACCTACACAAAATAAGGGTAAATACACTTAATCTAAGAAATTTCTATTTATTTCTAGATTGTTTTTCCAGTGGTGCGAAAATCCTTGGATCAGGCCGCCTTTCAGCCTGGCGATCAGCCTCTCGCGACGAGGAGAAAATAAAACATGTTTGAATTTCAGTCGCTCGGCGTAAGATCGCATCTGAGCGTCGGACCGCTGAGAACATGCATCGCGAGCTGTGAACTTTAAACCCTGCAGTTTCGTCATTCAGTTTGAGCTGTAGCTGCGTGCAACGATTGAAAATATTGCACATTCAAAGCCCACCTTAAGAAATAATATATTTTCTTGTACCCCTTGCAATACACTCACGGACCACTAGGGGTGCAAAAAACCCCACTTAGGAAACACTAGCCTGATAAACTAGACTAAATGTGAGATTAAATGTGTAATTTAGTCTGGCCCTGATGAATGAGACATTGGAAGATTGTTGATGAGAACAACCCATTGTTTTTTTAACCGCTGTCTGTGCCTATTGGCCAACGCTCTGACCAATGAGGCCAACTGACTGTGACCTAGAAAGCGTAACAGGAAGCCTGTGATGTTGCAGTGGATAAGTTGTTCAGATCATGGAGTTGGACTATTGTTGTCGTTTGGGCAAAAAAGACAGAGTAGCCGGTGTACTACACCACTGTACACATCTTTTCCAAAGTTCAAATCAATCGTTGTCAGTGGCAGACAGACAACAGTTGGAGTGAGCGTTTTGATTACACCAGGGAAATCCAATCGAGTCAGTCGAGTTTGTACAACAGTGCTGAATAGACTGGAAAGAGATTCTGCCAATTTATTGGAGGTGGATTGAAAATGAGGTGGAAGCAGGAACCCCCACAGAACCAACAGCTGCTGAAAAGAGAGCTCGGGAGCCTACTCCCTCGAAAACACTGAAAGACTTGAAGAAGCTCCACCAGAACACAGACAAGGATATCTGTCGCAGTTTCACAGAATATAGCCGAGGTAAGTTGACATCATCAGTATATGATTACGACCTGTGACGGCAAATCTATCTGCTTCATTTTCTAACACAGTTGTGCACCGTAGCTTTAGTTCCTTGTTGTGCTTTCTCCAGAGTCACGCAGCTTTGTCGTCACGCTCTCAAAACCCCGCCCACTTTGCATCCAGAAATTCGAATCACATCTCTGCGTTGTGATTGGCTCTGGAGATTTAGGGCCGGGGGCATTGATGGAGGCTATACCACTCGCAGGCAAAAATTATTTTGGCTGCTGGCGGGTGGGGCTAGTTTAATAGACTAGGGAAACACTGCTCTAGAAGACAAAACATGGTTAACATGTTATAAGCTAATGCACAGATCAATGCTAACTTTTGAGAAAAATCACAGAGATGATGAGAAATGTAAAAAACTCTCAAAACACTAAGCTGGTTTTTAAATAAAGACATGATTGCTGTTCAAAAGCCATGAAATAATGTGGAAAAAACATCAGTCACATTAAAGCGGCTCTAAAATACGCTGAAAGGTTCAGTGAACGTTTAGCAGAGACTCTGTCCTCTTCCTGTATCAGTGATCTAAGCTAACCCTCTGTTTGCGCTCGGCTCACCCAGAGAGTACATCTCCAGCTGCTGCCGCAGGCGGACCTTCTGCAGGCTGTCGTAGAAGTTAGGCTCCGGGCTGCTGCCCACGGTGGGAGGCAGCGTGAAGATCCGCATGATCTTCCTCTTGTTTCTGGTTGGATCACAGACAAACGGTTCAGAAAAAAAAGTGAGTCTTAAGTTCTTTTTAGCGATCCTTTTTTTTTTTATGGTGGCTCATTTGTAGAATATTTCTGTCCTGCTTTGACTGGTTTAGGTATTTAACATTTCAAACAAGAGCCGATGGAAAAGTCCAGACCTAAAACAAGTTGACAAATTGACTCTTATGTTCAAACATTTCAACCCTGTTAGGATTATTCCTTAGCATTGTAAACCAAAATGCTTGTTTCACCCTGATGTCATCTACCTGTTAAGCCAGTGGTGGGTAGTTCCAGTTCCTGGGGGCCGGTATCCTGAATCTTTTAGCTGTGCCTTTAGTTCAACCCAACTGAATCAAATAATTAGATGATTGAGAGGATTTTGGAGGAAGTGACTACACAATGAGGAGGTAACTTTGCCCTTTGATTCAGGTGTGTTGGACCAAGGATGGATCTTAAAGCTGCAGGATACCGACCCCCAGGAACTGCAATTGCCCACCCCTGTGCCAAGCTAATGTTTCCCCAAGCTCTCTGTGCAGTTAAAAGTAATTCTCATCATGTAAGTAAGAAGGTTCTGGAACTGAACTGGTAGCAAACAGACAGAGTTGATCATTCTTAACAGATAAAAGCTCTGGTAGTGTCTATTTGATTGTCCTTGATCTTAGAACATGTTTATTACGTCGATTACGCTGGAGACAGTGGTGTCTGATCGTTTAAAACATGTTTATGGTGTGACAGATTTATAAAAAGCTTCTTTTAACTAATTTGGGGCCCTTCCTGATGATGATGATGATGATGATGATGATGATGATGACGAACGCCTGTTAAAGTGGGCTGTATGTAACCAGAGTCATTTCTCTGGTCTAAAATTTTATTTTGGTAAACCTGTGGTCATGTTTTATAGTCTCTCTCTCATTAAAGAGTTTTTTTCCCCCACAGTGATCTCTCTGCGTCCATTTTGACTATCCGGAATGGTAATTTAAGATATGTGTATTTACATTCTGATTAGGAAGAATAATAATTCAAGATATCTTAAACTACATTTTGCCTAGTCAAAATTCCTTTCAAGATATCTCAAATTACGACACCGGATTTGTCATTTAAAGCGTCACATGCTGCTTTAACTTTTCCTCCTTTGGATTAAACTGACAGTAAGGAATTTTTTAGCAATGATCCTCCTGGAAGCCCATTAAAAAGATCATTACACATTTTGACTGGTCAGAATGTCAATTTAAGATATCTTTAACTCATTTAGAGATATCTTAAAAGGAATTTCGAAATTACAATTCAAGATATCTTTAAATTTGTTTTGCCTAGTCATTATTTACTTTTAAGATATCTATAATTGAGTTTTCACTATTCCAAACTGCATATCTCCTATCCTAAAATACATTTAAGATATTATGAACTATTTTGGCATTTGAGATATCTTTAATTAGAATTATGACTAGTCAAAACTAAAATCGAGATATCTTGAAATTAATTTATGACTAGTCGTAATTTAATTGTAGATATCTGAAATGTGTATTTCAGATAGTCAGTAATTCATTCTAGATATCTTAAATTGACGTCTCCATACAAGTTAATGGTAAATCTGACGTCATTTCTAATAGTCAGAATGTAATTGTAAATATCCCGAATAGGTATTTTGACTAGTCAAAATATAATTAGAGATATCTTAAATCGCAAAAACGTCTGGTCATAAAACAATTTGAGATATCTTGAATGTAAAGGCGGTACAACCGAATTTATGTTAAAACGGCTTGCCATAGTATCTCTGCTTCTGTCTCCTTGAACCCCAGTCACACTGAGCCTGGTTCTGCTGGAGGTTTCTTCCTGTTAAAAGGTAGTTTTTCCTCTCCACTGTCGCTACAAGCATGCTTAGTGTGAGGGATTGCTGAAGAGTCAATGAGTCGATGCAATCTGGTTTTCCATAGACAGAAAACTTTGAATCAATCTGACTGTATGATCTGGTGAACTGTAAAGTGCCTTGAGATGACATGTGTTATGAATAGGCGCTATAGAAATAAACTGAATTGAATTGTGCTTGTTATTTTTATTATTTCTAAACAAGTAGAATTTATAGCTTAAATATAATAAGTATAAAACCAGTTCTTTTATAAATACTTAGCATTAATATATTCTAAAACACCCCCAACTGATTACCATAGTACAGCCGTATAACAAGTGTTACATAATGTCGAATTAAAAAACCAAGGGCAATAAACTGGTGCTGGTTGTGGAGGCCTTTAACTATTTTCTCAATTAAAATGTGAGTTTGTCGTGTGAGCTTACTTCCTGGCGTAGATGAGCAGGCCGAAGCTGACCAGGATCACCAGCAGGTAAACGTTGGTAGCTTCATTCCAGGCTTCATGCACAGAGTAGTCTATGGAGTCAGGCTGGTTCCCCACAACCCCATGGCCCCCCATGGAGAAGCTGCGGTGGAAACAAATAAAACCTCCGCAGATGTAGCTCCAAAAGATTCGGCTGTAAACAAACACTGCGTCACTTCCTGATAGAGCCGTAGAGAAAGGAGTTCTGACATAAACACCAGGAGCCGCTGCTGCCCTCTAGAGTCTCCCAAAAGAACTGCAGCAATACAGTTTCTGCGTTCTTCCATCAATAAATCCAAACAAAACACCTGTGATTTACTTGCAGTGGTTGGATAAAGTGTGATTATAAATCTTCCTACTTCTATCTGGACATTTTAACACATAGAGCCTAAAACTGGGTAACTGTGGTTTTTAAAATCAGAGAATGAATAAGAATCAGAATTATTTTATGAATCCCTGGCGGGAAATTATTTTCTTGCTCTGTGCAACTGTTTACAGGAGAGAGAGCAAAATAAGAAATATTTAAAATAGACAGATTAAAATAAGTAAAAGTTATTATGTCTGTAAAAACAATAATAAAATTCAAAGCAAAGGGTTTCTGGAAAGTATAACCAAAGTATAACCAATCTCATAATGGAGCTTAAAATCCTTTATCCCAGATGTAAGATGGTGTTTGGGGGAGACTGGACTGTGAGTCCAGATGAATGGAATGATAGATGGCCTGGACATGTGTCTCCTGGACGGGGGGCCACCTGTGGAGCTGGTTTACAGTTAAACCCCAGTCGGCCTCGGCAGATGGCCGCTCACACTGAGCCTGGTTCTGCTGGAGGTTTCTTCCTGTTAA